ATTGTCCAGAGGTGGTTACTGGACTCTGCAACCCCTGGCTCCCCAGAATTTTGAAGCAAGCACACGGTCTACACTAGAGCTTCCCTTCATCCCCAGCCCCCAGAAGTCCTTGTCCCTGGCTGTGTCTTGGCTTGCTTTCTCACCATAGAGTCCCACATTTTCACCTAGTAAATATCTTCGTTTATGGCATAAACTGCTTATGTTAACCCTAGCAGTGTTCATGCTAGATCCACTTTCATGCCATATATGTGGGATTGAATCATCTTTAATAATAAAATAATTTACACATTGTTCCTCAAGGCTGGCAATTGCTGTCATCTTCAACTGTGAGATACGGGGTGATACGAAATTATTTCCTTGCCAGAGGTCGAAAGTCATAACAAAAATCAGATTTCACAACTTCTCTGCCCCTCCTCCCTGTTGGTGGGGGTGTGGTATTTAGCATAAGGTCAAAAAGACCTGAGTTCAAACCCTGCTTCTGCTATTTAGCTGTGTGACCTTGGCCACATTACTAAACCTTTCTGAGCCTGTGTTCTCATCCGGAAAAGAAGAGCAATAGATTATCTGCCTTATCCTCAAAGGATATGTTCTAACACCCCCAGTGGGTGTCTGAACCTTGGACAGTACTGAACCCCATATATACTATGTTTTTTTTTTTCATACATACATACCTGTGATAACGTATAATTTGTAAAGTAGGCACGGTAAGAGATTAACAATAGAACAATTATAACAATGTAATAAAAATTATATGGATATGGTCTCTTTCTCTCTCTTAAAATGTCCCGTATTCACCTAGTTTCAGACCATGGTTGACTATGGGTAACTGAAACCCTGGAAAGAAAAACCACGGATAAGAGGGGACCACTGTACTGTCTCTCTCAAAGAATAGTTACGAATATTACATGACAGAACCAGTATTAAGTACCTAGGAAAAAAACAAAAGCAACATTGAAACCTCAACTTTTGATTGTGGCTACTCTGGGCCAGGCACTGTTCTGAGTACATAATCTTTTTTGACTCCTTTAATCCTCAGGGAAATAATATTATCCCCATTTTACAAAGGATAAACTGAGGTAAAGGCGAGGTAACTTGCCCAAAGTCACAAGGTGTTAAGCGCCAGAACTAGGACACGTGCCCAGGCAGCCTGACTCGGAGGCTTCAGAAGTTCAAAGTTGGTTTTTTTTTTTTTTTTTTTCCCCCATCCCCTTAACCCAAAGACCTGCTGACTTTCATCTAGGATTAGCCACTCATGCCTGCACATATTGTGCTGTTAAACTGCACATGAATGTTTAGGTTTTTCTTATTGTACAACTTTGGGTAAGTTATATAACTGGTCTGTCCTCAGTCTCTACACCAGCGAAACGGGGATACGAACGGTTCTTTCATAAGATGATTGCTAGAGACAAATAAGATAATCAAAAGGCTGAGAAGAGTGCTTGACACATAGGACAGGCTCCACTTAGGAGGTGCTTTTAACATCCAAAGTAATGAACAATGCAATGTGTTAGGAAAATTCTTGGTGTTCTGTGGCTTGGTAAGGCACACAAGATTTTGTGGCTGGCTGAATCCAGTACTTTCAAATGGCTATCCTTGTTCTCTAGCAAACATACTGCATTTAAAAATAGATTGCTCATTTAATCAATAAAAAGAAAAACAGGTTCACAGGATTCTGGTTAGTAAGAAATGAGACTGGATATGGATATACTGAAATGAGGCCTAGGTAAAATCAGACTGAAAGCAAGAATCTTAATAATAATAATAATACAATCAGAGCAGTCTTCTTGGAGGTTTTTAGGTTATAAATTATATTCCACCCACTGGATAAATGTTACAGTTAATGGGCAAAGAATTTGTGAAAAATCTATGGCCTGGTCAAAAAAAAAAAAAAAATCTTTGGGTGATACAGGTTAAAGCAATTTTATCCCCAACACCGTTGAATACCAGGAATTTTATATGTAAAAAAGCACAGCTTTTGTGAGCATGTTGGACATAAAACAAAACACCACATTAAAGGAAAGGCTGGAGGGCAGACAGGGCAAATGAACTCACGTGAGCCCTTCTGCAATCATTGTTACAGCTTTGTATTACTCATCTTGCACCACACTTAAATGTACAATAAAAAGCAAAAAGTGTGCAACACGCATTACTCTAGCTGCTTTTACTTGTTCCATAGAGATATGCGAAACAATTTCACTGCTCAGATTGAGGGAAAGAGGAGCTCATCTTATTTCAAGCCTGTAGCTGCTGCCACAGCCTCAGCACCACGTTCTAATCATAGACTTCATCATGTAAATCTCTAGCAGATGATACCACTGGAAAACAGAAACTGCCATGGATCCAGAAATGCTTCCAAATTTCTCCTCTAAAGTTCTTATCTGTGAACTCAGAGGCTGACGCTGTCTTATTCAATGGGTGAGGCCCACTGGGAAACCCACATTATTTGGGAGACTATGAAGAACTTTCCACCATTCCTTGACTATATAAACGGCCTTTATCACGTATTTCATGATACATGAAAATGCTAAATATTTCACAACTACTCCCACTTATTTCTGAGGGTCTAAATCTATTCTGAAAAGGGTGTGCATCACACACCTACCTGTGTAGCTTATTAACTACCAATAAGAACTCACACAAATTGCAGGGGGTATGAAAGAATAGACTTCTGGAACTGTCCAGAAAAGAAGAGAAGGTACATTTTTCCTGGTTTTAAGATGAAAGCTCTTGTGTAAGTTAGAACATTACAGGAGTCGTTTAAATTCTCTTAGGTATACCTTTGGGGCATCATCCCTGGTTCCTGGCGAGTCTTTTTTCTCCCTGTGATGTTAAGAGGAAGTCCCTAAGACTGGCTTTGCTATTAAAATACAGACATCTGCTGCTCTCCTAATTTTTGTTCTTTTTAAATGGGAGTACTCCCCAGAAACTCTTGGATATTGTGGGAACTAAGATCTGGGAGATGGGGACGGAATCTTTGTCTCCCTAACACATTCATCAGTTCCCTCCCTAGAGCCCCCCATACCCTCAGCACACACCAGCAGCCCACTCCTCCAAAGACGCCAGGGCTGGAAAGATTCATGTTGCAATACCCTCCTGACATTCCTCATTTTAATTCGCTCACTTTTTTTTTTTTTTTTTTTGCTTTTTTTCTGCAGGTCGCTGTTGTGGCTCAGATTCAGAATATGCATTGACTGACTGGGTTTGACCCCACTCAGCCTCGTGCTGGAAGTAGACTACAGAGCCACCGAATTCGCTCATTTTTTTTTTTTTTTTTTTAAAACAAAATGTAATTACTTGACTGTCAGCCTGGGCTGCACTCTGGGGCTTTTACTCCTTTCAACACAGCTGCGCTCCCGGCTTTGATGCTGCTGTCCACGCAGCTTGTCCCAGCCACAGCCTGGCTCTCGGTAATGTAACATTCAAGTGCATATTTATTTTTAAACTGACCTCTCCTAGACTGCACAGTATAAAGGAGATCCTGCCAAAAAATATGCTACTTTCTATTTATAAGATGAAACACATGCCTCTCAAAGTCGGAGGGGGATAGAGTATAATAATTCATAACGAAAAAACGATTGGCCAGATCCACTCGTCCTCACATGTCTGATACTTGTCTGTGTCAAGCCACTTAGTTTCAAGGAGAAAGGGAGGAAAACTAAAATCAAAAAACCTTGTAAACGTTTCAGCTGTTCTCCGTCAAAAAACAAAAAAGTCAATATCCAGATTTCCAGGTTGGCGCCCCACTAACAATGTCCTCCATTAAGAAAGAGGAGGGCACCGGGCAGGCGATGCCACGGCAGAGCTGCGCGATGCACCCATGTGCGGCCCTGGTACCAATTCACGACGCGAGGGGCGCGGTAGCCAAGTGCGGCTTGTTCTCAGATGGAAAAATGCTATACGCGCCCAGAATGGCTCTGCCAATAGCTCGGAGGGTGCAATGGGGCCGCGCAGCCCCACCCTGAAAAGTGGTGGGCACAAATGGTGGAGCTCTGAGTCCCGGTCATGCCGCCCGCCCCACTCCTGGCTTGCTTTATGTCCCCTTCGGTCCGTTGGACACTAGATGTGAAAGCGATGCCCTCGGTATCCCGGCTCCCTGCCGGTTTCCCAGCCTAACACCAGCGCACGCCGGAAGCGGCCACGGCGCGGGCGGGACAGACTCACAGACAGGTAGAGAGGAAGGAACCCTGGATTACCCAGACTCACCGGCCGCCGCTGAGAATCCCAGCCGCTGCCCCGGGCCTCCCGC